GGAATTATATTTCTGATTTCAGACAGTGCTTGGGTAAGTCCAATTCATTGTGTTCCTAAGAAAGAAGGAGTGACCATTGACGCGAATGAAAGAAATGAGATAGTACCAACAAGACAAGTCACTGGTTGACAAGTTTGTATCGATTATAGAAAATTAAATACCGCCATTAGGAAAGATCACTTTCCTTTACCTTTTTTAGATCAAATGTTAGATAGATTGCTTGGCACAAATATTATTGCTTTTTGGATGGATATACCGGCTATCACCAAATCCCTATTGCTCCTGAGGATTAAGAAAATACCACATTTACTAGCCCATATGAAACTTTCACTTTTCAAAGAATGCCCTTTGGATTATATAGTGCACCTGTAATGTTTCAAAGATGTATGATGTCAATTTTTAGCAATTCGATTGATAATGGAATAGAAGTTTTTATGGATGTTTTTCTATATTTGAAACTTCATTTTACACATGTTTAAATAGTTTAGAAAAAGTTTTAGAGTTATGCGAAAAAACAAATTTAGTCTTAAATTGGGAAAAATGTTAATTTATGGTTGTAGGAGGAATTGTACTTGGGCATATAATTTATGAACAAGATATGGAAGTAGACCTTGGAAAAATTCAAATTATCAAAAAATTATCACCTTCTACTATAGTGAGAGGGGTTAGAAGTTTTCTAGGATATTTTGGTTTTTATAGGCGATATATTAAAAAATTTTCAAAAACCACTAAGCCTTTGTGCCAACTTTTAGAAAAAGATATGAAATTTGATTTTAATGAAAAATGTTTAAAGCTTTTGAATTATTAAAAAAAAATTAATCACTGCTCCTATAACAGTTTCACTTGATTGTGAGAAACCGTTTGAACTAATGTGTGATACTAGTGATTATGCGATTAGAGCTGTTTTAGGGCAAAGAAAATAATAAAAACTTTCTCTGATGAACAACTTTATAATATTAAGGAAAGGAATTTACCGTGGTATGCTAATATTGTGAGTAACATTTTACCACCTAAATTAACAATGCAACAACAGAAGAAATTTATATATGATGCCAAATTTTACTTTTGGGATGACCCATACTTATACAAACAATGTAAGGATCTTGTTATTAGAAGATGTGTATCTTATGAAGAAATTGAACCAATTATTCAAAGATGTCATGATTCAGAATTTGAAGCACATTTTGGAACTGATAAAACTGCACAAAAGATTTTACAATATGGATTCTAATGGCCTACTATTTTAGGGATGTTTATAGATATATTAAAACATGTAATCAATGTCAAAGAGTAGGTAATATTTTTAGAAGAATGAAATGCCTCAAAATTTTATATTAGAAGTTGAGATCTTTGATGTTTGGGGATTAGATTTTATGAGCACTATTAGAGACCAAGGCGGACGACTCGGTCGAAGGGGTAGAAGTACCGAGCATGACAAGTCTCTGAATTTCTTTGCGAAGGATCTTGATGAAAGCAACACGAGTTGAAGGAAGAAGAACCCTGCCAAGAATACTGAATTGGATTTCTTCAAGGTCTTTGTTGAGGCCTGCCAAAAATTGGAACACACACTCCTTTTCTAAAATTTTATGGAAGAGAAAAAGGTCGGTCGGAGAGTCCCATGTGCAGTCGTAGTACAAGTTGCATTTTATCCATAGTGCAGCCAAGTCATTGTAGTACTGGGTCACATTCCTTTATCCCAGTTTTGCCTCTTGAAGCTTCTTAGACATTTCATAGAGTTGGATGTAGTTTCTTACATCTGAGTAGATATCACGGACTCTCGTCCAGAGGGCACTAGCGGATGGGAGGAACATATATGAATGTCAATAAATGGTTTCATAAAGTTGATCAGCCACAACATGATCATGGAGTTCTCCATTTCCTAGGTTCCATATGTTGGGTCAGTCTTTGGAGGTTCACGGGTTATGCTTGTAAGGTGACCAAATTTCTCTTCGTCCTTTGATGAATAAGGTTACCACTTGAGACCTTTGGAGAAAGTTAATAACATTTAGTTTATGAGTTGTGATCAAGAAGTTCATGTTGGTTTCTGGTACTTGAGTCTGAATAGAGATTGCAGTCAAACCTCCGATGGAATCAAGAATGCTTTCTGAGGATGACTCAGTGCTGGAGGAGTCCGCCTTGTTTCCGACTGAGCCAAAGTAATTTGGTTGGGATTTTGAGTCATTATCGGATTTTAGCTGTAGGTATCCAGTTGTCTGATACAGAAAAATAAGCAATCTAGACAGCTGAAGGAGAGAAACCAGCCATCAAAGAAAACAAAAGAAAAGACTGGCAGGGACAGCTGACAGGAGGCTTTGCATCTACAGGGAGGAAGGCGGCGGTTGCCAAGGAGGCTGGCGGCCGTAGGGGACATCAAGGAGGGTTGGTGGTTGCAATTCAGCTAGAAGGTCCTACGACCAACAGTTCTTGTGGTAGACCTTGCAGGGAAGGCCAGCCATGGCTGGGATATAAGGTTAGATTTTGACTCTGATACCATGTTAAAATTTTGGAGTAGAGTAGCATATCTTATTGCTAAAAAGATGGGTATATAAACCCTGTTACAAGGGGCACTCATAAGGAAAGAAAAAAAAAAAGGTAATATGAAAAAAATAAAAATAGAATAAATAGAACAAGAAAATAAATAACAATATATAAAAAAAATGCATATTAATAATTGCTAAGAATAGTCGTTATTATTTTAATATTCTAATAAATACACTGCTAAAGGTTAATTTAAGGTTTGTATTTATGAAAATGATTTGAAACATACATTGAGGATTAATGAAAGAAATATGTCCTAATCTATAATGTTGTGTCGGAATCATATCGGTGGCGTGAGAGATATTGTTGATAGCCGTTCTCAGTTCTCAAGAAAATGTAACCCATTATTTTCTCTAACTTACCAAATCATCTTCCCTATCGTGATATCTTAAAGAACACAATAATCAGTAAATAAGATAGCTAGTATTTGTGCTATTTGGTAAATAAGTAAATAAGTCAATTGTATGGTGTGGGATAGATAATATGTTACTGAATGTTAAGTTGAGAGAAATTAATGTGTCCATGTCATGTAACAGTTACTAAATATCTATCTAGAATTTTTATCTTTTTTTTATTAGGACAATGTTAACAAAATTTTTCATATAGTTGGTGACCATTGTATCAAAGATCCAAATTGAGAAAAATTGTTAAAGAGACTAGAAACATGTAGATTAGAAATCATATAATTATGAGAAAGAGAATAAGATAGTTAGATTTTCTAAGGAATTGAAAATTTTTCTTAATTTGTTGATTTCTTTGGAGTTTAGTCATTTTGGTTCCATTAGGCAAACTTGTCTTTTTTTTTTTTTTGCCCTTTACTTCATCTATAACTATGAGACCTTTTGTGAAGTTTCCAACATTTATCTTTGATGTGCTATTTCTTTTTGCAATAACACCAAAGATTGCCTTTGAAGAATATATTTTTCTTTTTTGGGAGAATTTTTTGTGAAAGAAAGTTGATTATCTTGGGATTTAGAAGTTATCATGAAACCATTGATCATTACTGACCTTCTTCCTTCAGCTTTCACTAGAAATAATACTTCATTCAAAAAAAGAGTCTTCTTTGATTAAGATTTGGATTCAAATTTGATCAAATTCATTATTGAGTCCTGCCAGAAAGATTTTCTCTTGCTCCACGAATTTTTTAAGGATCACCATATCTTTATTGTAGGACATCTGAAGATTACGGTAGTAATCCAACTCTTTAACCAATATATTTTTTAGGACATTAAAGCATTTAATGACAAGAATTTATTTTATTTAGTAGTGGCAAGCTTTGTCTTGATTTCATAGTTGAGTGCATCATCTTTCATTTTTTAGAGTTTTTATTTAACTATATCCCAAATCTTTTCTACGGTAGAGAGGAACATAAAAGACTCGCTGATCTCTGACAGGATGGTGTTCTACAACTATGTTTTGATGATGAAATAATTTTTTTTTAAAGTAAGAACTTTGGATCTTTAAACTCCAGAGATCGATCCACAAGGTGTTAGACTCTTTCATTTCCTTTTACAAAATTCTTCATGATTTGGGTCCATTTAAGTTCATTTTTTAGTTCAAGCGATAAGATGCAATTTCTCTTTTGGTTTGATTTTTACTGTTAATCATATTTGACTCCTTTAAATGGGAAAACAAAGGACTTACACATAGTGAATAGAAGGAGAATTGAACAAGAGGGAAAAGACTAAAAGCGAAAATTCTAGTCTAAGAGAATAAGAACAAAGAATGAAAGAATACCCTAATTTTACGCTGATACTATGTAGAAAATAAAACAATGGAAAAAAAAAATTCAAGAATCTTATTTCGCACTTTATACAAGAGAAGAGGTATATTTACATTTCCAAGAGGCATTAGAAAATAGGAATAAATCGAAATAAAGAAGTGGTAAAAATAATTAGGGGCTAGGGATCTTATAGGAAAGCAAACGGATTGCAATCTTAATATCATTAAGAACTATATCTAATGGTGTAAAGCCTTGATCCTGATATTTCAACAAATTGAAATCCGAGGGCCGCAAAGTAACATATCCAACAGTGCAAAGCATTGATCCATATACTTGAAGTTCTTTGCTACGATTGGAGCAGCAAAATTTCAACACAATAAAAAACAATAGAAAGATTGACAGGAAAGAGAAGAAAACAGTTATGGACTCCTGTAATTTATTTTCTTGCTGAAGAATAAAAAATAACAATCAAGCGTTAAGAAGATGAAAGAAGGTAAAGAATAAGGGAAACTCCCTTCATCTGTAACAATACAGAAGACACCTTAAGATTTTCCAATAAAAAACAAATTGAACTCCGACGCCTACTTTCTGTAAGTAAATTTTCATTAGCAGCACTACATTATGTAATTATTCTGCTAAAAACTGTTTTCTCATGGTTAGCAAAACAGAATTCTGAAAACAGCACCGTATGCTCTCTTTATGTATCCTTCTTAAATCATGTAGTTAAATTCATGTTGTCCTAGCAATCAGATTTGAAAAGCTCAAGCCGGTTAGTAGCAAGCCTGAGCGAGTACATTGTCTTTTTGTACTCTGCCCAAGTGAACGGCCTATATCTCGGAGGATTCTCATGTGTGACCATCTCTGGCAGAGGCGAGATGCATGATTGGAGTGAAGGTGCAGCAAAAAACATTGTGGACAGTCTTGATTTTTGTGCCGTTACCATAGCCCTGTGCCTCACACTCACAAACCTTCCATTTGTCATGGCCTGAAATAGAAGAAGATAAATTATAAATTAGCCTCTATACCCAAAAAAATGGAGGATTTACACACATACCAGTGGTATGATACCACTCAATTCTTATGTATTTGCATATGTAACACCTAAACTTCAATTTTTACATACATGACACCTTATCTACATATGAAAGGTGTATTTCACTTTTTAAAAGTGAAAATGGTGGTATTTTTGCCGTATGAAGCATTTTGTTGGTATCAATGTAAAAAGGTAAGCTTAGGGGTTACATATATATATATACTGTCAACATATGTAAGGATGTATGGCCAACGGGACTACACTTCTGAATTTCATTCAAAATATCATTCATCATGTTACCAACCTGCAGAGCATCACCAACATTGATGAAGAATGCTGAGGAATCCGACTTAACTGGGATCCATAAATTGCCATCTAAGGGTGATTGTATTTGCAAACCTTCGACATTGTTCGATCTAAGTATGGTGAGAATCTGAGGATCAGAATGCTCGCCAAATCCAACCCTTGAACCTTTGTCATCCTTATTCTTTATGATGGTCAACCCTTGGTCAGCACTGCTATCATAGGAAGGATAGTGGTTTAATCTTATGAGAGAGTCATTCTCACTGTCCATTAGGAGCTTACTGAAGAACTTCTTATCCTCAAGCTCTAGTCCTTCTCCTAGTAACTCCAGTATGTCACATGCAAGCTCCCTTATCATTTTCACATACTCGCTTAGCACACAACTGTAAGAAGCAGGAAAAAGAAAAGATAAAAAGTTAGAAGTTTACATGCAGACTTCAAAGAAATTAATTGCTGTAGACTGGCTATGCTATATGATTAAACTCTTCTAGCAATAAATATGACACTAATAGCCAAGGTAGGTGTGTAATAAATGAGAATGTTAAGACATATTTGTTGAGTGATGTACTGAAAGATAATTATAAATTAGCTCATTAGTCCCTCAAAGGATGAATATGTTGTTTCTTTTAATTTATTTAAATAAATTGGATCAAAGTGTTACATTCCTAGCATGAAAAAACAGTGCACATAAACGTTTTGAGAACATATTGGCAGCTTACTCGGTTGAGTTATATGTTCACATTAAATCAAATGAAATGTTCTAATTACCTATAGTGCTCCTATAAATTTACCAATGTTTTATTCCACCAAGATTCTTAAATTGATCAAACATATAGTTGAACCAATACGACGTGCATGAAATATAAATTCAGAAGCATTATACATTATTTAAGTTGCTAATTAGGGGTGAAACCAACTTTATTTTTTAGGGTAGGTAAAATCACCGAATAAAAATAAATTTTGTGATTGTATGAGAATAAATTTTTAATTTTATAAAAAAAATCTCAAATTTCAGGACGAACATTTGGCGCATTCATAACCTGGTTCTGCCCCTGCTAGGCCGCTACTAATGACAAACCAAAGAAACAAAAGCTATGTAATTCCACCTAACACTCACCCCAACATAACATAATTAATTGACTGTAATCCACGCTTAAATATTGTAGAAAAATGCTGCAGTGAATTTACCTAAACTTGTTGGAGTCATTGCTGCTGACCTTCCTGACTATTTCATAGATGGATGTTGGATCTGCATGGAAGAGAAGAAATTCAAGATCGCCTGTGTCACCGTTGCTCCCAATTTTCTTGCTTCCATATCCCAGAGGATTGGGAGGCCCAGCCTTCTGCTTCTCGGAAGCCGCTAAAGAGAAGAATTCCTTGCTTTCCTTCTCAACATTGTCAATAATTTCTCCAGGCACACCATGGTTGATCACCTTAAAGAAACCAAATTCCTCACATGCATTCACCATCAGTTTCCTCACTGTCTCCCTCTTCCCTGAGAGATCTATAACTGGCAAGTCAGAGGACACCATCCTCTGCTTGTTCGCTTGTATCATATTAGCCGTCACCATGGCTTCCCCCTTCAGTTCTAACGAGGAAAGAGAAGTTAAGAATAGAAATTAGAGATGATGATGAAATTTGAAGGTTGAAGGAACATGCTGGTATTTATAGGAGAGGGAGGAGGAGAGTATATTCACAAGATTTATTTGGTAGTTAATGATTCAATGAGGTGTGTTATAAGAATGCTGGTGTGAATTTCGACAAGTACAAATGGCCAAGACCTCTCTTCTTTTTAGCTGTTGACCATGTTATTCTCTGCTTGACTATTTCTTCTGGCATCACAGCTCTCTCCATTCTTTTCAAAAATCAATTATCCTTTACATAATGTGTCAATAACCTTATAAATTTAGAACCCTGCTGGAATTTTCCTTCATTAATATTTTATTTTTATATTTAGCTGAAGGCGCCCTTGAGCAGGTCAATCGTGGTGGGGGGCTGTGCTTCGTGGTGGCGTCTGATTAGAATCTTACCCCCTATGATGAGGCAGCAGCTGGTATGTTTGGCCTCTCCAAATCATCTCATTGTCCACTCTGTTTGGCTTAATCTCACGTCTAGACAAAGAAATTGTTCTGCAGATGTATATTTGCTTTGGTGTCTGATTCATGAGTCCTCAATTCATGTTCTTGCTTTTTACTACTTGAAGTGATAGTTTTATTTTCAGAAAACTGTTTCTTATTCTTTAGTCTCTCCTTCAATCCATCCTACCGAGCTATCTTTTGTAGTAAGTTATTTTTGACTTCTATATTTGATAGATTTTACTCTTGCTGTCTCTTTGTTATAGTATGTTCTCTTGTCTCTTTATAGTAGCACCACACATGCAATATACAAACATCTTTTCTGCCACAATTCACTATAGATATCTTCTTTATTCTCTTGCAATTTGATATATAACCTAATTGGTTTCATTTTAATTTTATAAATTATATTTTTAAGTCTACATATATTTTATTATGACATTATAGTATTCTTGAGATTGTTGTTATTTTAAGCAACTGACTTAATTGGTTTCATGCCCTCATCTTATCCCTAAAAGTATAGAAAAATAAATAAAATCAAATAAAAAAACAGAGGGACATTTACCTTTATCATTCAAAGCCTTTTCAAAAAGAAAAAGAACATATTATGAACTTTGAATGATTTTGATGATGCAGAAAGGATAATATCATGCTTCTGAATTGGCTTATATTTGAAGAATGATTTATCTTGAAAGCTCCATCTCTCTTATTATTCTTCATTTTCCTATTCAATGTTGGAGCAAGAAACTTATCAAAAGAATTATGAGAACTCTCTCCTTAACTTCATCTCTCATATTCTCATTTTTTATATTCCCTAACATTGACAAAATGAGCAAGTAAATCTCATTTGAAAATGGTTAACTTTATTACACAAGAATCATATAAATGATCTATTTTGATCATAAAATTAATTAACTTCAAATCTAAGTAAGAAAAAGTCATATTAGCTAGAGATGAAAAATTGTGAATGTGTTAAAGAAGTCATTAAAAATCAAAATGAAGAGTTTTTAATAATATTTCACTAAGTCACATAAGTTATTTGGTAATTGTACGTTATCTTAGGTGCTTAATTCTCGCTATCATCACGGACTACAAAGTGATCTTTATAATAGTTTTTTTCATAATAAGACCCTTCAAGATCAAAATAACAATGTGATATTGAATATAAATCAAATATAGATGTGTATCGAGAAAAAATAATATTATTTTATGCTATATTCAACTAATGCTATATTATGATTCAAGAGTTATCAATGTAGTTTTAATTTTTATGATAAATTGTAATTAATATTATAAAAAAATATTTCAAAGAAAAATTAGATAATAATAATACTTTACTTTGTCGAGAAAAATATATGTATAATAATTGAACATAATAAATAAACTCATATTATGCTATTATATCATAAATCACAACCATATGAGCCACATACTCATCAAACACTCACGTCATAAACCTTTTGTAAATGAATCAACAAGTAGAAAATTTGCTTTAATATGTATATATATATATAGAGTTTTCTCGCACCTCCAAATCTTGCAAGGTATATATATATATATATATATGTATATATATAGTACTTGAGAACTCTAAACTTATTCTTCTTACAATACACAAAATAATATTATAAAATATGTTATTCGCTTTAGATATCTCTAAAATCATTTTATCACTTGTCAATGATCGATTGATAGCTTTCTCAAATATCTACCAAGTATTTGGATAATGTAAATACTATTTGGATGCATATAACCTCTTATATACATACAACTCCTTATTTAAGATATATGAGAGATCTTTTTCATATCTTTCTTTTTAATTTCATCTTTAGATAATTAAAAATATTAACATTTTCACCCTTAGCAATGTATGTAACCCTTAATGCACAATTTAATTTTCATGCCAAATATACTAAGTGCATCATCGAAATGTATATATGTAATTTGTGACAAGGTAAGTATAGGACAAGTGAAACCTTGGTGATTTAATATATCCAATGCAAATAAGGCATTCCTATGATTTTTATTTAAGTTTATTTGAAAGAATTTCTTTAGTTTCATGTAAAAGGGCACTACTACTTGCCAAAATAATATAATCAACATATAATAAAAAAAGTAATAAATATACTCTTATTGACTCTATGATAAACAAATCAATCAATATCATTTTCTTAAAACCAAAGAAAATGATTAGTTAATCAAAATTTTTAATATTATGGGTAGGATACTTGCTTTAATTTATAGATGAATTTCTTTAACTTGCATACAAACTAATTTAAATTAAAAGCTTGAAAATTTTTTAGTTGCACCATAGATATAGTTTCCTTAATTTAATATTGAAAAATAGGCACTATTTGATATAATAATAAATCATAATGTGCAATCAGTCTTTCAAAAAACTAGGTGAAAGTTTTTTTCTATTCAATACATATCTTTTGAGCAAAATTGTTAGTGACTACACATGTTCAATATAATTCGATATTGTCTTTTGAATTTTTCTTATTTAAAAATTCATTTACAACAAATTGGTTTCATTATTTTGGGCAATTAGATAAGATTTTAAACGTCATTTTTTTCTATTAATTTCATCTCATTCTCCATAGCCTATATTTATTTATGGGAGTTAAAACTTCATTCAATATGATTAAGTGATATTAATTTTTCTTTTTGGACTAATATTAAACTCATGTTCATTGATATATATGTATATATATATCTGATATAATTACCTAGAATATCTGTTTTACTTACTTTAGTGAATAACATGAATGGCATTTTAAGTTGAGGTTGTGATGATTCCTCAAAATGAGTAGGAGATAACTATGAATATTTTTATTATTCTCATTTGCAATTTAAAAGATATAAATAAAATTATATGACCATTTTCAATAATAGCCTTAAAAATAATAATATATTCTAATGCAAAGATAAAATTTTTAAGTTTATCGCTCTCATCATATTCAACATCATCAATTTATTTAGCATTGCCCATTGTAAATAGGACTTTTTTGAGATAACATACAAGCTTTTGATCTATTTGTGTATAAAAAAATGAAAAAAAGGAAAAAAAAAAAAGTTAACACTTCTCGAGTTCTATTTTCTTTCATCAAGCTTATATAGTCTATCTATAATTGGAAATCCTCAATCATAAAAAAATTTCTAATACAAAGCATCTTTCTAATTTATAATTAACTCCTTGTGAATTATTGGCTAGTATTTTACATTCTCCTTATAGTGATTTTGATAATAAATAATAGTATATCATATTTATAACCATATCTATTAAAGTCCAATTTCTCCACATTGCTATAACATTTTTGGCTTGGAGTCTCTAACATGGTGTATTGAGCAACGATGCATGATTATTCTGTTGAATTTTGCCATATTATTGACAATGACTATCACAATGATAAAGTTGTTTTCTTATGAAGTACATTCTTAACTTAGATTTACAAATCTTAAAAACATTCAATGATTTTGATTTATCATATTTCAAGTATAAATATTCATAACAATAATAATCTATATCAAAGTAATCAAATGCTATTAGCTCTTCCAAAAAAAAAAAATATGTATATATAAATGACCACAAATATCAAAATGGATTAACTTTACGAATTTTAAACTCTTATCGACACCAATTTTCTTAATATTTACTTATTTTTTATTAATACATTCAATACAAGTTTTAAAATATGTAAAATCATGAAATTAAGAATTTCATATGACACAAGTATTTTTAGTGTTTAAAAAATAAATTTATTTATTTGAAAAACAAAAAATAAAAATAAATAAACAATTTAATCAATCAAACATATTTTTAAAATAGAAGAACAGATAAAAATAAAATAAAAGCAAAAGTGATGCCCTTAGCATTAAATCCAATTACTTGTTTTATATTTTTTTCTTTTAGCCATGCATACAAACCTTCATATATAATTATTTTAAATCAAGCCATACAATTATAACCTTTTTTATTTTCTTTGCATTTTTTTTCCCCGGGATGTTGAACCCAAACAATATTATATGCGATTCATACCTCAAACCTCATAGTTAGAAACTAAACTCTTAACCACTATGTGGCAGATAAATTTGTATAACATTTATGTTGCTATAAATTTTGGTGACTATTTATGTTAAAACTTATTAAAATAGATAAATAAGGAATTCATAATTAGTCACACACTGAATGAAATAAAGAAACAAGTGAAACTCACCAAATTTAGTGCATTTAATTTGTGCAAATAAATAGCCAATTAAATATAAGGAAGATTTACATAATTATTATCAAAATATTATAATGATATAACAAGGTGTCAATTCTTTGTACCAACAAGATAAATGGTGTGTAAAAATCAAAATTTTAAAAATAAATTATCTTGATGCAAAGTTTGCAAATAATAAATGAAAAATTTGAGAGAAAACTATTCACAATGTTTTCACATGATAATCGTTTTGATAAGACTTGTTGGAAACATTTAAAGATGAAAAATAAG